ATCATTCTATGCAAACTGTCAATTATCATTCCTCAATAAATATACAGGATTTATCAGAATATAATCCAACACTGAAGTGTGTTATAGTGTATACCCTTTATAGCACCATTCTATGCAAACTGTCAATTATCATTCCTCAATAAATATACAGGATTTATGAGAATATAATCCAACACTGCAGTGTGTTATAGTGTATACCCTTTATATCATCATTCTTATGCAAACTTTCAATTACCATTCCTCAATGAATATACGGAATCTATCAGAATATAGTCCAACACTGCAGTGTGTTATAGTGTATACTCTATATAGCATCATTCTATGCAAACTGTCAATTATCAATTGCACCATCCCATTTTAACTTACGTTTACCTTTGTTGATGAGGAATATTCAAGATTATCTGTATACATGTTATTCGTTATACCATCGCATAGAGACTCACACAAACATCAAAGCTGACCATGATATATTTATTCATATATATATTTTTTATTTTCTAACAGAAGAATATTTTTCATTGTTTTATAGATAAAAATGACAAATTGTTTATCTGCATACAAATATTTTCGAGACTGGAAATCTTATTCAACGACTTCATGTCTAGACATGCGCAATATTGTTTTCGACAAAGTACATTACCTATTATGGCCACACAATTTGCAACGTATTACACAATGACAATCAAATATTCTTTGTGTCGTAGGTAATAAATTGCTTCAGACAACTATTAATGACCAATCGCATTGATCACGTGACTGCACACTAAGTTTCAATAAACCAGCGTATTGCTACCCATTATCTATTGTTTCTCTTTTTAGTGACTTTGAGCACCCCGAGTATCGATAAGAAATGGATGAAACAGTAGTATATGTTATTATTGCTTTAATCTGCAGCCGCAAACTGAAATAAGATCAATGCGTATACAGAAAAGTGGCTAAAGCCTTATAACAATAGAAACCCGCGGCCAAATGGAGATTGCAGCGGATTTGATGCAATGTAATGCGTAATCCATGACTTTAAAGCTATAATAAGCGATATCACCTGACACCATAGCCTATCCTGAATGCACATTACTACCTAAGCAGGTGAATTTGGATATATACACATATATATCGGAGATTTTCCTGATAACCCGTCTCTCTATTCTCTTGATTTGAAATTTGAAAATTGTATATATATTCAGATCGAAAAATATCATCATCCATAATAAAACGTATAAAATATTTCATATGACAAAAATAAAATTCAAACGCCTAAGATATTGGTATGAACAAATGATGTCATCACAAGTCATGTGAGAGATTAAGAGCGCATATGACTCTGAATATGACTGGAAAATTGGTAATTACATACATCTACAAGACCAACGAGCTCAAATAGATAAATTTGCATAAATGTATAGAGTCATGATGTGCACAATGCCAGGCAAACTAAACCACGTCATCAATACAATCCACAAAACCTTCCAAAATAATATCCCGTTTAGAATTTAAAAACAACAACAAAACAAATCTCTCTAGTCCAATAAAACCTGTTCAAGGATTTTAAGATTTAAGTAATCCGTCATTCCATAGCGGCCATTTTCAATGTACCCTAAGGTTGTGTATTTCATTGCACTTACAGTAGTGGCATAGCATTAAGCATGACGTCAACTACGCTCTTCATGACGTCACGTGTAATATATTAAGTTCGAAATACCAAATTCAAAGAACATAGATGATACTAATTGTTATGATGTTTTAAAGGTAATTTTAAAGTAATTTCTAATTAAATGTATCAAAGCATTGATGTGATGTTCACACTAACCAAGTCCATGTTGTGTAATTAACACTATGTTAGAATCTGCAGCCACACACTAAATACTGGAACTAGCGTTTGTATTTGTTCAAAAATGGTCTTACGATGCTTTGGAAAGATAGCCCAGAGTTAACCAAATTGTGTTCAATAATTTAAACACAAAAACGTTAGTAAAACATTAAGTTTTATTGCCGGTATAAGATTTTTTCTCAAAGAATATTTCTGAAGCTATTACTTTATACTTTATTGCTTAAGTGTGGTAGTCTGAATGCTTTCTTAGGGCCCTGATCATTGTAAGTAAATAGCAGTCAACAATCAAACACCGACTCTATTTCTCCTTTTTATTATGCTATTGTTCTTGATAAAAAGTGACCAGGACAACTCCCCTAGTCAAATATCATTTAATATTCAATCTGTGGACGGTTTGGAAAGCATCATTTCTTCCACAAAAATAATTTAAGACATTGCAATGAATAAATATGTTTTTTTTTCTATGTATTTTTCTATAAAATTGAATCCGAAACAC